GCTCCGCCGAAACGTTCTGGATTCTATCTGCACTACAGAGTTAAAGAAACAAGATCTGCCAGGCGCTCTCAGGCACTCTGCCCATGGTCGAGCACTCTGTCCACAATGATTGGCAGGGGCCATGTGAACTGCTTTAAATAGATGAAGCTGCAAATTGTACTTTATTTCATTGACATAAAACACGGGATACATCAAATCATGAGTTTGATTCTCGAAACGTAAGGAAATGTAGGCTCGAACAAATGCGTAATGTTTAGCTGCAGATTAAAAGTCATTATAAGTTCTAATTAAGTTTTCACCTGTCGTTCATGACATCATCATGCAGTTGGCAACAATGATAGCTCCACTAGTAACACACAGGACAGCTTGAATGGTGAGACGGCTCTGCAAGTGACAACAGACAAAGTAGCAACGGGTAGAATTTAAAATGCTTGCTGATTGTTTTCAATTTTCTTCTTTATGTTTAGCAGTGTATCTAGTATAGTAGTGCTGATAGGGTCTATGTCTCCCCAGGGTACTGCCGGAACGTACCTTGGGTACGGTACGGTATACCAGAACGTACCCTGGTACTAAATACTACTATCTAATATGCGCGCGACCGTACCTCGGCCACTCCACTAACGAGTCTAGGGAGTCGCCTACGCCTACTCCTAACTCTAACCTTAACCCTAACCCTAACCATATCAGCTAGATAGTTACCAGGGTACGTTCCGGCAGTACCCTGGGACATAGACCCTATGAGCACTAGTAGTAGGCCATGTAAATTGTATCGCGAATTGTCGTAACTGTAATGTGCTAAGCCAGCTGCTAATACACGTAGTGCTCATAGGCGTCTATGTCACCCAGGGTACTGCCGGAACGTACCTTGGTAACTATCTGATATGGTTAGGGTTAAGGTTAGGGCTAGGGTTAGGGTTAGGGTTAGGGAGTAGGCGGTAGGGCAACTCCCTAGACTCGTTAGTGGAGTAGGCGAGGTACGGGCTCGGCATACCGGACCGTACCCAGGGTACGTCCAGCAGTACCCTGGGGACATAGACCCTCTCAGCACTAGTAGTACTACTAGTAGTACCTATAGCTCTAGTAGTAGTAGCTCCAGTGGCAGCGCCTGCGGCAGTCACTAGACGCGGGCTACTAGGCACTGCAGCAAGAACAAGTCCGCACTGCAGCTACAGCACACACGCGGCCATTGACTATATATAAACAACGGCGTTATATATAGTCAATGCGCTGTGTGTGCTGTAGCTGCAGGTGCGGACTTGTTCTTGCTGCCAGTGCTACTAGGGGTACTATAGCTCAAGAAACGGTATTGCTAGGTTAGAATTGACCGACGTTGTATATTAGAATAGACTGACGTTGTATATTGACGTCAGTTTCACAGCCTGGTCGGTTAGGGGTATATTACAATAATGTAACCCAAACCCAGGAGGATAGGGGTCCCTATCCTCCTGGGTTTGGGTTACATTATTGTATCTAGGTTAGGGGTGCTAGAGCTGAGAGAGTCTATGTCCCCGGGGTACTGCCGGAGCGTACCCTCGGGTACGGTCCAGTATACCGCGAACGTACCCTGGTACTATCTAATATGCCGGACCGTACCTCGCCTACTCCACTAACGAGTCTTAGGGAGTCGCCTACGCCTACTCCCTAACCCTAATCCTAACTCTAACCATATCAAATAGTGACCAGGGTACGTTCGGTATTACCCGGACCGTACCCAGGGTACGTTCCGGCAGTACCCTGGGGACATAGACCCTATGAGCGGTACTAGAGCTACTACTACTAGTACTAGACCGAATAATTCTGTCCCATATTGCATATAACCTTTTTTATATTTGGTGAGGCGTTATTGCGTTATATGCGTTATATGCGCGACGCGTTATATGCGTTATATGCGGACGCGTTATATGCGTCCAATAACCTCACCAAAGATATAAAAAAGGTTATATGGGAGCAGAATTATTCGGTCTACTAGAGCTACGTGCAAGTGTATAGCGATTCTTACTTATTGGACGCATCTCTAACGATGGCTCTGCCAAATCGGGATATATGCGTTCTTTGTAGTAAGACTCTCAACGATATATACAGCAGGGGAAAGAAGAAAGTGCCAACCAACAGAACACCGAACTGATACTGATAGACGAACATTTCGCATGTTGTTGGTTATTCTGACCCGCATAGCAGAGCATTATATAAAACATATGCTTTGGGCATAGATCAGACATCGTGGCGCCATCTCTCGGGAAAATTGGACAGGTATAAGATGCTATCAGGAGTACATGGATGATGGATGAGAGAATCTCTGATGGTTCATGCCAGAAGGCAGTAGAAAAAATCGAGAGAGAGAGAGAGTTTATTTTATCACTTTCAATATCAGCAGATACAATTTTTTTTTAACAAAATATAAATAACGTGCAGTCAAGGGATGGCAAAAAGACCATACTGTTATCTAGTCAGCTGCAACCCTTAGAGAAATTAATTAAGTATAAAGGCACCTGTCATAAGAATAAGATGTATGATGAGAAATATTTGAACAAAATGTTTGTATGATAACAATAGAACAAGCAGCAGACATGAAGTTATGTACAAAATATGTTGGACACATATAAGAAATATTATGCCCAGCAATCAGTACAGTACAGTAATCGAATCAAATATTTACATGCTAATAAAGAATAACTTAAGCGGCATATATTACAATTTATGTCAATGTCATGATTAAATTAAGATGTGAAAAACTAATCAAAATAAATAACAAAACAAACAAAACGGTTTTTCAAACTGAACATACATAGGTGAGAAAAAAAATATAGCATATAAAAAAATATACTTATCAAGAATATGTGTAAAGCAGTTAGCAGTCACATAAGATAAGGAAAATAATGAATTGTAAGCATATATATAACACCTTTACATACGTTAGATTTGACAATTAATAATTACATGCAAGGAATGGAATAGCATGCAGAGGAGAGAAATAGTGAAGGTAAATCAGGTGAAGGATGAGATGGGGTAAATGAAGGAAGGAGGAGTGTAGAGAAGGAAAGATTACAGGAAATTGATTATTAAAAGTGCCAACATTTCAGCTATTATATACCTCATTCGAAGTCATTGATAAGTATTAAGACTATTAAGTGGCGGAAACGAGAAACTTGTCTAATCAGAGATGATTCTAAACAAATAGTATATACTTATGGAAACTCACACCTCTTTTATTGTGAAACAAAAATTTGAAATTCCGATTCACAGTTGGAACTTAGGTATTCATGTCCTACAAAACAGCACAAATACACAAGAAATGCTCCAATTGTAATGTCATGCTTGTTTTCTTCTGTACTGTACACTAAACACCTTTACTTTGCAATAAATTTACCACGAAAACACGATATACATAAAAATGTCACTTTTTCATAGATAAAGGGTAAAACATAATAATAATAATAATTACAAAATATAAATACATAAAAGATTCCAAAGGTAGTACAATAACAAACAATTTAAAATCTCACATAAACTAGCCAAAAATAAGACCACAAAATTTCTTGAAATTTTGTTAAACATTCCACATACGTACTATCAGTGATAACATAAGGAGTAAGATAATATAGGATATCCTATATTATCTTACTCCTGATAACATAAGGTTCCCTCCGATAACATATGACAATGACTCATAGACATTAGTCTCCTATTATGTTGCTAGTCAATTATACAATGTTCGTGAATCTTACACAATGCATAGGCTATTTAACTGGTGATATGACTTCATATTATCAAGCAAAGCAATTGAAACCATGAAGTACAATGGTTTGTTTCATGTAATGGATGAGATGAAAGACAGATTGACTGTAAAATTATCTAGATAGATAGTGATATGTATCTTCTAAAAAATACGAGGTTCGGCCTTTTCCACTATTATTTTGGGAACATCTTTTACTCTGATGAGTAAAGCTGCGTTTAAACTATCGATTTTTGTCAGCAAATCGTACCGATTTCAAGTGCATTCCAACTAACCGGCTCAAATTCGATTGTGTTGGAGTCGGATTCGGAGTCAAGTCTCCGAGTTGGAGAAATAAAACGTGTTCTATTTTGCACGACTCGGACGATTTGCTGACAAAAATCGATAGTGTAAACGCAGCTGAAGGCACACCAGAACTTGCCGACAATAAACTGCAATTCATTAATTCATTTTGTTTTTTCCCACTAATGATATTATCCAGATCACCCTTTACTATGCTCTGCTAACCACATACCATAACTCACCGTATATGTATAATTTACAACTCTCAGAAAAACCAAACTGAGGTAGAACATGCGAGCCATGTGATGTGGCTCATTTAGCACTAGTAGGGATCTATATAAACCTACCTAACTCATCCCCTCCTGCCCTATTGGACTTGATCATCCCTTCCCAACGTGACTCCTTACTATTTTCTCCTAATTCCTCTCCGCAATACCAAACTCCTGCCTGTCCTACATGCAACACTGCCATGGAGGAATTTTATGCTTCTTTCTTGAAGTTTAGAGCATCGCTGTTTATGCAGAACCTAAGTCCTGTTGGCTGCGGTCCATCATCAAACACATGACCCAGATGTGCATCACACTACAAGTAAATAAATCAAATAAAATTACAGTTAGTGCATGTATGGACCAGGTTGCTAAAACCATGATCTTACGATTGCACACCACAGAGACATGCACACACGCACGCATGCACAGACGCATGCATGCACAGACGCACGCACACACACACACACACACACATACACGCACACATACACACAGAGTTAATCATAGAGCAGAGGAAAACGCAAATCAAATTTGTAAACAAGATTGAATCTGAAAATTGAGAAGACCGACTTTATACATGGCGTATTAATTCCATTATTCCAAGAGCATTGAGTATACTATCGGCGAGAATGCCATGCAACAGAAAGATATTAAAACAATATGAATCATCACCCCCTTCTGATATCGGACACCGACCTTTTTACAGATCACCTCCGTTCTGTTTGTATTGTACTTGTTGTCGGATCGTGCTAAGATGTTCGTCTGCATGCCATCTCCGCCGGCCTTGGCACCGTAAGCTTCGTAGAAGGATGGCCAGCCTGAATGCGAGTCAAACTTGGCCTCGGAACTGCAATGGGAAAAGACGCTCTAAACAACAATGCAGAAACGCTGGAATCTCGACAATGCGGACATATCACACACAGCCTAGAGGATCTCACATCATGGCTCCCCCACAGCATCAAGAATTCTCAATCATAGATTTCTACTAGTAACTGGACTGCTCAATACAACAAGAGTAATCGGAGATAGCAAACCTCCGCCACAGCGTAACAGTCCCACCATCTTGCTGGTACACCCAATATAGTTTGATAAAATGTTTAAAAATTTGAAAAAAAAAAGATCCAGGATTTTTTTTTATGAATTTTGAAGTCTTCCCCCCAAAAAAAATCCTGGATCCAGATCACCACCAAAATCTAATCGATTGGTTTTTGGCCCAAGACCAACCCATTCAAAAAATTTCATCAAAATAAGTCTGTAACTTTTTGAGATATCCTATTTACAGACAAACAAACCAACAAACAAACAAAGAGGGGCGAAAACATAACCTCCTTGGCAGAGGTAATTAGGTGTACCTGAATAGCAGGGCCTCGCAGCAGATGCAGGTATAAATTCCTTTCTCACCGTGGAGCAAGTATTTCCCACTGAAAGGCTGCAAGATTAACACAGTGGCATTGAATGACTGACTGCAAGGACGCATTAAACACGAGGTATGTGTTCAACCCTACAATTGGACCAAGGACGTTAAAGTGATTACGTCACCGTAAATAGTAAAAATTTAAAAAATATTTCCACTTTTTCACAAAATATAAGTAATTCTGTTCACTTTTTATGGTTAAATTGCTGCATTATACTTCCTGTCGCTTTTTCACAAAATATAAGTAATTCTGTTCACTTTTTATGGTTAAATTGCTGCATTATACTTCCTGTTTTACTATATTGTTCGATGTGAACATACACTCGTGACTCATACATATAGCCAAGAGTAGATAATAACACATATAGCCCATAGCAAGCAATTAATGTCAGGATCATAATATCAAATCGTCCAAGTTTTACGGATTTTTAACTAGTTAAGAAACAATCTTATCAGGTAAGAATTTGACGATACGTTTAGTATATTCCGTTAGTTCTTACTTTTAATGTAAAAAAATGGCAACAAAAATTTTACAAATTTTACCATAGAAAATTCGTGACGTAGTCAATTTAATGTTCTCATGATTAGAATCAGGAGGAAAATTACGGTTAGGTTGCAATCAGGGTTAGTTAGGGCGGGTGGTTAGAATTAAATGGGGCAAGTAGGGATATAAGTTATAATTAGGAATCAGTTCAAATCATAGTCAGGGGATAGGGTTAGGATTGGTGGCTAGGGTTAATGTTAAGGTGATCATGTTGATAAGGATGAGAATAAAGATACCAGGGTACGTCCTCCATATACATAGACATATACTAGAATTATCCTCTTGTCCAACATCAGTACTGGATACATACCATAGAGAATGGCTTCCAGAAGTATACGCGAAACAAATCGATAAAATAAGTAGTAGATATGCGCGGTGAGAAACACGTACCATCTCCGTTCCTTTCTCTCTCGTCACGAAATACTGCTCAGGTGTGAGCTTCTCCTTCCATTCCTTATTCGTGATTTCCATCGGATCGTTCTCCTCCGTGGCATGAAACTTTGCTATAGTACAGACAATTCCATTTAAAAAAATATTACCACAACGACGGCCTTAACCAGACTCCTCCCTACTCCAACACCTTCTCCTCCTCCTCCTCCTCCTCCTCCTCCTCCTCCTCCTCCTCCTCCTCCTCCTCCTCCCTACTCAAGCA